GTAACCACAATGCTCGGAAGCAATCTTTTTGGTCCTCTGTAAATATCGGAACGTCAATATGGGAAGAATGGTAGAAACTGAACAGATGAAACAATATTGCCGAGTTTTTAAGAGGAACTCTCCTCGAATTCAATTGTAACACCTGCAAATGCGGTGGCAGTGGCACACTCTCTATTTCCTCGTAACTCAATATAAATAGGTCGAATAGCTAAGTGTATGTCATCAGCTCAGCGGACTCTAATATGTTCTTCTACATTGTATGTGCCCTGTTCCTTCTCAACGCCTTCACAACTGAGGCACAAGTCAGTGCTGTAAGTCCCACCATATATACGGCTTACTGCTCTCAAAACAATTCTATTATTCGGTCTTTTCAGCCATGTGTGGATCAGGGAGGAGAATCGTTCTGCCTCGGACCATACCACGCTGGCCAATGCAGCAGTCCAGACTTCCAGCCTATTGCGCAAATGTACTGCGCCAAGACATGTGGTATTTGTCACTGAAACTCGATAAATACCTTGGAAAATAAAAACATACCAAAATCACGTCCTCCTCTACTGCGTTTTCAGTGTCACCATACTTATGCATTTTATTCGAATTGAGCTAATGTTCGAGATTGCCTTGATTCAGCATACAAGAAAAAATAAACACAAGAAATACGTGGCAGAGAGCGGCAATGAACATCATTCTTCCTATACATTTAAAACGGAATCAACTGCAATTGACTCAATTCAACTGGATAAGCCCAGATGGACATGGAAAACCGCATCATTCTCAGGTTGTAGCGACTTCGTAGGCCCTTAAACTTGACGGCGATGGCCGATGGCATCATCTCCTGAAGAGAGTGAGGGCAGTGAACGAGGACCTGCTTGTGCTTATGAGAACATATCAGGGAAACATATCATATTATTTTGCACTGAAATTCCTCAACGGCAACACCCCTGCGCGCTTGTTTTGCTGATGCGGCCATGAGCAGAATGCTTTTTTTGGTTTCCTGTATGTTGTGCTTCTTCTTCTCCCTAGCGTTAGTCCCGCGCCGTCGCAGGGTCCGCTTTTGTATGTTGTGCTGTTAAAAGGTTTAATCCAACACAAATTAAAATGTTTTCTCCAAAAGGAATGAGAATGATAGTATAGCTCGTGAGAGGTGAAGCCGTGAAGAAAAAACTGAGAGAAAAGGCCAAAAGCCCGCAATATTAGACCGCGGTTGATTTTCGCGGTGAGGCGAGTTTCCACCAACGTGATCATTCAATCCGCTTCCCTGACGAAACGGTTAGACGCCTACAGCGAGGAGATAGTCTATAGGTGCGCACACCTTCCTCGTCTCCTTACGATTCTTTAGGCAGCCTGCCTTCCTTTGTTCAAGGCGTGTGGGCGTGTTCCCCTTTTTCGAATTCCAATCTATCGTACCACCTGCTTTGAAACAGATTAGAATTGTCGCTATAGGAGTAAGTATGACGACTGCATAGTGATGCGACGCTCGTCGATGAGCTGGCCTCAGATAATTCGATGAATTCCTTGAAAATGAAGTGTAAAAAGTGAAGGAACGCGACGGTCCTGAGCAGAGCTATCAAATGGTGTAATTTTCAAATCGCGTAAGCCATCCCTGCAGGAGTTATGGCGAGGCGACGGTTGCGACGGATCGAATGCGTCGCAATCCGTCGATCGAACGAAAATTTGTAGCAGTATTGTATTGATGGATCCACATAAAATAGGTGAATTTCAGCGCATGTTTACTTCTCCTCAAAAAATAAGTAAATGCTATCGCTCATACTTTAAAGTACCAACCGTTCCAGACCACCATGGTTTTATATGGTTACAGGGTGGCGGAAAATTACGTGCGCCATAAAGCACGTTCAAACTTTGCTTATTGTTCATAAAAATTTGAAAGATATTGATTTTGTAAAACAAACAATGACATTTATAACTGTAAAAAAGATTTGGAGTAGCTGCCAGCAATTATGATACAGGCCTCAATTTGTTTCTTCACCCAGTCGATGGTGCGGCGGAGGTGTTCAACGCATATTTCATTCCGAATTTTAGGCACTTCTTTTCAGAATCACCAAAATTTTTGCATTTCGATTCCTTAGTGGTTGACACTGACTCTGCTTCCAGGGGCAGTAGTGTTCTCAGGGATTCCTTCTTGGCAGACCTTCCCAAGGATTTCCAATTTGCCATGCTTCTACCAATAAAAACCTGTACAGGTCTGC